TGACAAAATATTTTTATATATTAATATATTAGATTTAATTTTTTAAAATATCAATCATTGATGCAAAAATCATCATTTAATGATAACATGTTAATGTTGGAAGACTAGAAAATATTTTATAAAAGTTCAAATTAAGATTTTATATAAAATTAAAAAATTAAATGTGCATTTTTTCTTTTTTAGAATTTGAAAATTTTAGAGGAATGAAGAAAGATTAAAAAATTGGAAAACATAAATTAATTTTTCATAATATCTAAAAAAATAAATTCTACAAACACATTTGTTGGTGTTGTTTTATTTGAATTTTATAAACATTTATAAAATTCCTCCACAAAACAAGTAATGTATTTTTGGTGATATTTGATATGATAAATAAAATCAAATATATGCTTCCAAATTTATCTTGGTTTAGTAAATATAGCAATCATCATCATAACAAAATTTATAGTGAGTCTTATTATTCACAAATTAAAAATAACCTAGCTTCATTTTTCAAAAATTTAAAATTTAAAATAAAAGGCCTACCTTGAAACTTCGTGTGTGTTTTGGTTTTCAATTTAGCAAAAGTCATTTTGATGAAAGTTTATTTGATAAAAGTCAGTTTGGTGAAAGTCAGTTGTTGTAATGAAATTTGTATTTAGATATATTTTTTCAAAAGTCAGTTTGACAAACAGAAAGTTATTTGGATTAATAAAAGTTTATTCTTTTAAAATGTACTTTTTAATTTGTAATGACCAAAAAGGACATCAAGAAATGATAATTTATAATTTTAATTATACAAATATAATATATTAGTAATGTTTGAAAAATGTGAAAGAAATTTTAAAATAACATAAAATTTAAAATGTTAAATAATAAGAAAAAATATAAAATTTAATTTTGGACAAATTTATGTAATAAATAGTTAAACATTGGCTAATATTGAATAGTTACATGATTAATGGTTCGATTTATAATATACAATCTGATCTCTAATAGAATCTCGAACCATATTCATCTCTCTATCAGAAGCCACGCTTGAAATTGCACTTGGAATTATTGATGAAAATACATGCTCATCATTATCATCGTTAGTATTAACCATATTTTCATCCTCAAAACGCCTAAAGTCAGAATCAGTTGCAGATTTTCTTCTAATAAAATTATGTATAGCCATTGTTGCACCAACGATACGAACTTGCGTCACAAATGGATAGCTAGGCATATGTCGTAAGATTGCGAATCTGTTCTTCCAAACTTCAAAAGTCCTTTCAATCATGGTCCTTAAGCTTGAATGATAATAATTAAAAACCTCATTATTGTTTGCAAATTCAGATGAACGCCTGAAATTTGAGAGGTGGTACCTATAAGATTATAAGGACCTAAATATCCACGTGGCGTTAGATAGCTGACATCTAATAAATAATATTTACCTACCAATAAAAAAAAATGATAAGATCCCAAAGAATATTGAGTAAATTATTTTAAATTAAATAAATATAAAATATACCTTGGGGTGGATGTGGAAATTTCATGTCTGGCCTTGTGAGTGCATAGTCAAACAAACGAGCATCATGGGCAATCCCTTCCCATCCAGCCATGACATAAGTGAAGCACATATCCCAATCACATGCGGCTATTATATTTTGTGTTGGAATACCTTTCCTTCCAATATATTTGCCTTGCTCTTCAACACTAACCACGCATGGGATATGTGTTCCATCGATTGCTCCTATGGCATCTTTAAAGAATGGCCAATATTGCGGATCACCTAAAATTTTTGGATGAATATCTTGAAAAGTGCGATCTTTTGGTTAGATATATTCTTTTGCTAGCTTCTCACAAGCACATAATACATTTTTGAAATGTCGGTGAATAGTCTCTGCTGAATGTTGAAATCGTTCTTGTGCCATCCTATTCCCCACCCCATGTCCAATAATATTTAAGAACATACCGACCATTTCATGAATCCCTGTTCTTCTAGTTAGAGACAAACCATGTTGCACCAGTTCATCATAAAGTTGAAAAAAAACATCTTTTTCCATGCGAAACATGTCATAACAACGCTGAGGATGCCCTTGCAAAATTTCTTGCGCCCATGCATAACCTAATTGTGAACTGGTTCTACAAGGCTCTTTCAATAAAGTTGTTGAGTAATTAGATATTATTGCAGTAATAGCCTCAATCTCATCATCATCTTCGCATGTACAAGTAATTGTAATAAGCGAGATTGTGTATTGTCATCGATAAAAACTGCATAGCATAAGTAAATAACCATTACACTATTGTTCATGACTTAACATAAGAAACACATAACATAAGAGTCAAATAACATAGTCAGTTTCAAAACAAAGTTAACAACATAAACGGCACTAGCTAAATTTAAAACATTGAGAAGGCAAGCTAAGATTGATCTAATCTGCTTTTTTTTCAAAGCACCTCAAATAGGCCACTAATGCTCTTTTATTGTCCCTAAGCCCAATATACATGTCCCTTGCAGTTTTATCTAACAAAGCCACAGCACACTGTCCAAGAAGCGACTCATCATAAGCAATCTCCTCAATTCCATAAAGTTCCTTTGCAACATCCACCACATTTTGATAACTGGTTTTGTGCCACCCTCTATGGAATTAAGAATTGACTTCAATATTGAAACCCTATCCTCTTGTGTGGACACCAAGCGACTCACTGAATCAACCATCACAGTTGCAAGACGTTTTCCCTTTTTGTTTTGACCACTTTCACCTCTCTTTCTCTTGCTCCTCGAATTAGAACCACCACTGTATGCATTGTTCAAGTTGACCTGCCCAATTTCTGGGAGAGCTCCTCCACTAATATTTCTCACATCATCACTGTCTCCTAATCCTTCAGTCAAATCCAGTTGAGGCCTATACACATCTTGTGCGTCATCAACCGCAGGTGTCCACAGGTAAGTACCTCGAGCTGCAACTGGCTGGAACAACTGTGTCAATTCTTGTACATATGAAAGTGGTCTATGTCTGAATTTTCTATACTCAGGGTTCTCCTACACATTACAAGAATTGAGTTCAATATATTTATAAAATAAAGCATCAAATATATAGCATGCCGTATATAACTATATGCCTTAATCTTTTGACTCCACCACTCATCCGGTGTTGAAATAGTATTCTTTTCGCCATCCCATCCCAAGTCGATCTCTTTGTTCAGCAATTTGTCCCATATATTCCAATCTTTTCTCAAATTATCCCATTTATTTTTTAACTGCTTCTTATCATAGCTTCTAAAGTTCAAAGCATTGAATTGTTACATTAACGCTTCCCAACCTTCCTTTGATAAGGTAAAGCCCTTGCGCTCATTTCTTTTAACTTGTTGAAGAGCTAATTTGATGAACAGTTCGGTCTCTTCAGCAGTCCACAATGCCTTCTCCTTACTCATATTTACTATCGAAATATTACATTCTCAATAATTAATTAACATAAATTAGACCTATTTGTCAATCCACATTTAACATGAAACAAAGCAACTAATAATTAATTAAGTAAAATCATCCAATATTCATTTATGAAACCATACCAAAACCTATAATTTAACATTAGTTTGAACAAAAAAATAACTTGAAAATACACACATAAACATATATAAATTCAGAATAATTCATCAGCAATTGAGCACAAAATTTTTTTAAAACACACACATTCTCAAGAAAAGAAATCAAAACTCAGGAACCAATCATTGATTATAAAAAAATTTACAAACATATACAAAGAGCAAAACTAATTTTGAACTTAAATAATTCAAGATCTAAAAACAGAACCAAGCATTTCCACCATTTCAGTTCCTATTCATTCAGCATAACAAAACTTTGACCCATACACACAGAGCACAACTACGTTCAGATTCACAACATTCCTATTCAATAAGTATGAGAAAAGTTTGAACCTGTCCTTCTTCTTCAAGGTTCAGATTCCCAACGTCCAGAAGCTTTCAAGTTTTGGAATGCAACTAGAAGAAACGGTTAAACAGATCAAAAGAACCTTCAACCGAAAAAAAAACAGAGCATAAGCAACCGGAAAATGGTGACTGAAATGGAAGAAATGTCCAAAAGCTCTCAAGTTTTGGAATGCAAGTGGAAGAAACAGTTAACAGATCAGAAAAACCTTCAACCGAAAAAAAACAGAGCATAAGCAACCTTCAACCAGAAAAAAGCTCTAACTGTCCAAGTTCAGTTCAAGCCTCAAGTGTTTTTACTCTATCAGCTTCACAATGTTGTCCCAGACCCAAAAGAAACTCGATCCGCGAGCTACCACTAGAAAATGGTGACTGAAATGGCGAGGAAGGATGACAAAACTAGGCCACGAGCTCATCGAAGGAAGAAAAGTCAAATTGTGACTAGACATGGCGGGGGAGAGACGGAGGAGAGAAGGACGTAAGTCACCAGAGATCTGACGGCGGACGAGGCAGATGAACACAGCACAGAGAAGAGAGAATGAAGAAGTTAGATCTGTGACCCGGTGTGGTGGGGGAAGACGAATGCAAGAACGATGAGAAGACTCACCGAAATGATGAGACGAATGCGAGAACGCGAGAAGACTCACCAGAATATGACAGAGGTGCACTGACAGTAGACGACGCAGAAGAGGCGGAGGAGAGCAAACCACAGACACGACAGAACTGGAGGAAGCAGGCGAGATCTGAAACATGGAAGAAGACAAGCTCGGTAGGAAAAAAAGACAGATATAAGCAGGGGTATCATGGTCATTTTAAATAATAAGTATTTTATCTCTCATCAATTGACTTTTTAAAAGCTTCAAATACCAGCTTTCAGTTTTTTCCGTTGCAACCAGGTCTGAAAGCACTTTAAAAAGTTAATTTTAAACCTTAAATGATTCCCAAACACCATTTAACTTCCTAAAGTAAAAACCAACTTTTTGGATGTAAAAAGTTGGATCCCAAACGCACCCGATTTCAAATGCTTAAAATTAGTTTAAACTTTTAAATGATTTAGATTAGATTGGATACGGCCCTTGAAATATCTCAGTCCGAGTTTTCTGACACGCGCCATCAAACTTAGGCCTAGGTTTTCTTCAGAAGAGGCCGCGTAAAGCCGGGGCGCTATCAAAAGCGATACTCTATTCCTTTCATCAGATTCTTGTGATCCAAAAGACTGCCTTCGTTTGGTGATGAAATTTCCGAAGCATCGAACGCCTTCCTTCTCCGATCTGAGTTTTAGTTGTTGTTTCCCGCATTCATCTTCCGTTTCTCTTCCCGCTATGCATCGATCGATCTCAACCTGTATTTTCAATCCCTATACCGAACTCCAATCACTACCAGATGCGGTCGATTCATTCGGTCACATAGCAGAAAAGAAACATTGCTCTACTGTCATCTGAGCATCTTGATCGATTGTTGCTGCCAATTGCGGCAAAACCCATTGATCAAGGTGCCATAACTAACTTCATCTAAATGGCTTCAGTCGTGGTTAAATGAAGTTAGTTATGGCTCTTGATCAGTTGGTAATTCAAACCATAAGATCAAGAAGCCTCTAATGAAGTCTGATGTTTAGCCAAATGGTCAATGAAGGTATGCATTGCAAAAGATTGGTTACTTGGTTCATAGCTTGCAATTATTTATTGATCCCTTGTGCAGAAGATATTGAGATTTTGTTTATGAGATTTTTTTTTTTAAATTGTTGCCACTCCCTTCTAGTTTGATGCAGTTTGGAGAAGCCGACATCTCAACGAAGATAATTGCGGATTATTTAAGCGAATTCTCAGTCAATGAATTCACTTAGACTTACACTATACTTTGATGAATTGTGTTTAGGTTGTGCTTATCTGGTAGAATTAATGCTGCGTAATTGATTTTTGAGCCTCTTTTGTTCAAATGCTGGTATATTGAAGTTAAAATTCGGTCGATCTGTGGACTCCACTGAAAAACACTTCATTTTTTTTACATGAAAAAAACTTTATTGATAAAGCAGAATGAATGTTATTGGCTGTCTGAGTTAAATATGTTTCATTTGAACCATTTTTTATCACTTTTGTGGTGCGTGATAATAAGAATGATAACGAGTAGAAACTCATTCAGAAAATAAAACACAGCAAGCCATGGTAGTTTCACTCCAAGCCACTTATAAATTCATGTTCTATCATGTTTTGCTGAAGATGCTCTTTTTGTTTTCTTTAAATCTTGAATTTGATGATTCTATGGGTTGATGTGTTTGTGTTGAAACGACTTAATAATCCGTCTTCTATATCTAAGTAGTTCAGTGTATGATTTATGAACCTTTTGGTATTTTGCTGATCGGAATATATGGTTTTGAGCAGGTATCTAAAATTTAGCAGTTTGAGGGTCAATGATCTGATTGAGAGTTAAGGGTTGGGAATAAGGGCTGGGCCTTGTTTAAATAAGGCTGCGTGTTTGAAAAATGAGAGGTTTTTAAGGTAATAGGTTTTTCGGGCCCAACCCTGATAAGTCTTGAAAAAAGGGCTCAAGCTTGGGCGAGCTTCCAAACTCTGATATCTTTTTTTTTTTTTAAAACTATGTAAAAACAGTGCATAGAGAAAAAATTTAAAGCTTAAACTTCTCTAATTTTGTATCTCTTGACTCTCACTCTCTTAGCCTTCTTTTTTAGATTGAAACTCTCACTCTCTCAACTTAAAGATTAAAGATTTCACAATTACTCATCTACCTTCCCGTCAATCGTCGCTTATCTCTATCTCACTCAGCATCTTTATTCTCTCAGCAATCATCGCTTATAATGTCGTGAATTTTGCAATGATATGTTTGAGACATATATTTTGGATTTGTAGTGTCATTGTTTGAGACTGTGAGCAATGAGAACATGTTGTGCACTGTAGATTTGTGGTGTTGCTACTCGCTTGATAGATTATTGTTTTTTTTTTACAAATTAATGTCTTGTTTATATATATATGCATATAAATATTATATTTTATTTAATTTTTATACCACTGATTCGACCGTCAGGTTAGTTAAATCATGGAAACTGTGACTTGCTGCACTTTTCAATTTGACATCCAGCTTGGCTTTCAAAACATTGGTTGCAAGCATCCAACATGAATTAAATGAGTAGGGTGACTTATGAAGGGCAAAATAGAGATTTCAAGTTTTTACTTCCTCGTCCTCTTTGACGGCTCTGAAGTCTTTATCGGAAATTTCAAGCGCTCAATTGGATTCGCCAATGGCTACTATGTCTGCAACTTCTTGTTTCTCCTCTATTGCAGCAAAGCACCAGTTATTCGTCAGACTCAAATCTGATGGCTTGAAACTCTTCCAGTTCCGGGTGTTTTCGGAGGTAGAAATGATGACACATTTGGATTAAACTCTTCCACTCTTTGCAGCTTGAACTCAAATTTATTGGGGGCATGACTATTCTAGGGAGCTTGGTATTTTTGCTGATAATTTATTGAAGCGTGACATTGATTCTGACCTTGCTTTTGAAGCTAGATCTGGGGATCATCATCATACGATGAGAAGGAATCACCATGGCAAGCATCAGAGCTTAACACAAAAATATCTGCCACGAACCTTCAGAGATTTGGTTGGGCAAAATTTGGTGGCACAAGCTCTTTCAAGTGCAATCATGAGAAGAAGAATTGGTCGGGCAAAATTTATGGACCAATGGCACTGGAAAAACTTAGTGCTGGGATATTTGTTAGCTTTAAATTATCATTCTTCTGAACACCCGAAATCATGTGGCTCCCACCATTCTTGCTTTGCGTAGGCTATGATACGGGCTAGAGCTGTAAGCCTCCTCATTCGATTAAACTCCCCAAAATTTGAACGCTTCGTCCATGGTGTCGGATCAGATCCACTTTGGGATTCCTCATGGCAAGGGTTTCGACCTGGGGTTGACGACATGACGGTGGAGAGGGAGAATTTCTGAACAAAGGAGGGGCTCAGACTCAGACCGAGCCCCTGGGGTTAACATGGCAAGACACCCGGCATTTTGGGTCCGATTTTTTTTCCTCTCTTGCCCAACTTAATGGACGAGGATTCAAGGTTGGGGGCAGAATTATTCCATTTTAATTACTTTAAAAACGAAGTTGCTGATGCTCTGATGCTGTTTTTCGTGGTGTAGGGACGTTGATATTTAGTCGGTTGTGATTTTGCCTTTGTTTCATGAAAAAAAAAAACAAAGAAAGAAAAAAGAAAAAAAGAAATGCTGAAGTTGGACATGGACTAAGATTACACATTACATGCAGCAAATCTATTATCTGTATCTGTACGAATGTGCTTAAGACATTCCACCATGAATCATGAGATTTCACTCCAAGGTACAGCCTCCTTAGACAGACACTAGTAGACCAGCAGAACTGGAATTCAGATCCATCTCAACAAACCTGAATGCATTCCTGTTGAAATCAAACATCAATTATGGATGAAGCTCAGCTATATCTGAGAGATTTAGTCAAGCTCAAGCACTCCTTGGGAGCCCCAACAAAAAAAAAAAAAGGAACTCAAAAAAAGAAAACAAGGAAAAATGAAAGAGTGATCTGTCATACATGAGTTTTCAACATGCACAACTATTTGACTTCTTTAATTTAGTACTATATATTTTTTAATAATAAACTCATTATCTATGGAAATACGGATAAAAAATAATCATAAGCCGAGACTACCTGACTAGTCAGAAGAGGCCTCTCTAGATTCCTTGCGTCGTCCCTTCTCAGTGGACAAAGAAATCTTGTTCCTATCAAGACGCTGTTTTCTAGATTTTTTCTCTTTGAAGACATAGCTATATTTCTCCAGTACCCTGTCTTTCTCTTGTACGCGGCCCAACATCTCATACGCATTAGCCACCTTCTGAATGATAGATTTATCCTGAGGCTTACGATCAAACGCTTCCAGTCCCTTGAAAAGCTTTGGCAAACAAAATCACAACAGAAAACCCTGGTTTTAGTCTAATCTTTATGCACAAAAAAAGATAGCCATATCTTAACAAAAGTGCCCAAATGCAGGCTTTTGTTATCTGTGGATTAGTTTGAGGGCGCCCTACAGCAATTTTTTCTAATTAACTTATAATCAAACAATCAACAGAGTTCAAGGGTACAAGGGCTGACAAAATCCAAGACATTGCAGCAGCAAGTAACTGCATATGGTACTATTGCAGTTTCACATTTGAAGAAATTATCTCATACCAGCAAAATGACCAATAATAACTCTCTTTACCACTTTTAATTAGGAGGAAGAATCGAAACACCATATCATACCACTGCATCCGATCTCCAATATTAAGACTAAATGTAAAGAGAATCAACTTGTCATAAATACAACAAAATCTGCAAATTAAAACATGTTATTATTTCTCAAAAACATGAGCAATTTCATAAAGGATCCTTACCCGTACAAGATCCTCCAGCATGTTGTTTCGGTAATATACTGTTATCATGAGATGGCATAACTGCCAAGGAACTGAATGCAAATCACAGCCAATTTTCTTCTCCCAGAATTCATGTGCTTCTTGAGCTCTGTGATCCATATCTAAAGCTCGAATCAATTGACCATATGTTCCCATCGTGGTTCCCTGCCCCTTGCTCAGCATCCATTTAATTATCTTAAATAGGATAATAAAGCTACAGATTAACTTTCTGAATAAGAATTTACAATAATATTGCAAGATTAAAGTGAACTGATGTTACAAACTAACTTTTGATGTTTTCCTATAGCCTAAAAATTAGCAGTCAGTCCTCCAGATGTCTTAGTTACTTAGAACTTGCAGTACTGCCTAAAACCAGTAAATTAACAAATGTCAATATCGAGACAGAATAGAATAAAAAGAACATCAATTTGGGTTAAATTCCCAGTGCGCGAAAAGAAGCATAAAGTGCAAGAAATAGGAGATCTTAAATAGCTCCAAAAATCTAAAAACTATTTCCTATTAATCTAAAAATATGAATATGATAATAATTGTACACAAGCAGAAGTAGCTGGCTGTTGAATTATCTATATTGGGCATAAAAGGATTAACTAAACACTACAGCCTGATCACTTGATTTTATTAGAACAAAAAACAAGACAACTTGCCAACTAAGATATTAAATAATGATATATACTTAATGTTAGTCCCATAATGTAGTAGCCTGCTCTGTTGCCTGATCGCAAGCAAGAGAAGTGCCTTTGTCCATATTACAATATCTGCAACGCCACCCCTTTTCAGAGTAGAATTCACCTTTCTATATGCCTACAATCTTCTCTCCGTCACTGCTTTTTCCGCCTTTGTTGGATATGCTTAAAAAAGGACATTGCAAAAAAGGAAGAAGAAGAAGTAAGAGAGACAATGCATCACTCATACTTGCACAATTCTATGCCACTGCTGTTCCTTCTCAAGAGCAATCAACGTCCTTTTCAATGCAATCATGGGAAACTTGTGCTCCCAGGCAACCCAGGCATCCAGAGCACCATAAACAGCCTCCTTACTGTCGTTGAGATTGAGAAGCTGCGTTATTTGGTTTAAATCAACACATCATTTTGTTAAGTATATCTAGTATTTGTTTATTGTACAGATTAATACTCACCGTTGTCACAAGAAAATTGATCTTGTCTCTTTTAGGTACATTATCCCCAATAAGACGCTTTTGTGTCTCTCCGGCTTTCTGCTCGGGAGAATGGCTAGTCTGTGAGGCAAATTGGTCTCACAAAATCAATTAACCAATCAAATCAGTCAAGAGACAGTTTCCTTCACAGATGAAATTACCAGAAATTGATAATTTTGTAGGAAATTATCGTGATAGAAACAATTATTACATTGTGATAACAAGCAGACATTTTGCTTTGTGACTTTGGAAACATTTCCACATACAATAACCGTAAGGTATTCTTGGTTCGACAAACAAATGAAAATGCATCTCAAATGAGCAAACAGAAAGTTAAGATAGCAATTAGACACCATAGGTGCAATTGGGAGTAAATTACTATACCAATCATACGTCAAGTAGAAGTCATCTGAAACTACAAAAATTGTGCTGAGATTACAACATTGATTCTCCATGGATTTCATCTTAAACCATCTAACTTCCAACATAAAGTCCTCAGATATAAGACCATGAATAGTATATGATACACACATTACTATGATGAATTCTAAAGAAAGAATGATGGAAACCGAGAAAGAGAGAGATAGAATATCGGGCAACTACCGGTACTTGCTTACGCAGCCAAACATACCTGTAAAGACATGGAATCTAATGCAGAAGTCGAGACAAGAGGTTGAGCTACGTTAGTGTGCAAGGCATGGTCCATCAGGTTACTAGTTACTTTGAGGCTATTCAATCTTCTAAACTGCAGAAAGTAACAAAATATAGCTTAAAGTACACCCTACGAGGAATTAGCAAGGAAGAGCTACTGCTACAGAATGAATAATGGGAATAAAGCGATTGTACGAAGCATGAGAAACACAAAGACACTCACGATACAAGAGATTCGAGGTGACCTCCACATGGTGATGAAACTTACAGTAACACAAAACTCAAAAAAAAAAAAGAAAAAAATTGCAACAGTACAAATACAAAGAAAAAGGGTTATTCTTCTGTTATTCTACTCCAAGTTCTGACCGCGCCAGAGATTAGCCGGAGGGAGGGGGCGCTGTTCTTTTCATTCGAAGAACTCCGAGCAACGCTCGAGAGGACGGTGACACAGAGTTTTGCGAGAGCAGCTGGTGAGCTGGATGACAGGGCAACCTAATTTTGGGCCTACCCAAAACCAAGAATGGAACGAGGATAATTTCGTAACTAAAACCTAGGCCCAAACTCGACCTGGTTGCTATATGCACTGTAGTTGCTTGGGTAAATAGGTAATGATGGTTTCTCTCTCTCATGCTAACTTGAGTTAGTCGAAAATTGATAATTCAATGAAATTTACATAGAAAATAAGATAGATACTGTTTGCGGGTTTTTCTGTCTTGGGCAGGCGTGCTTGATGCTCTTGTCTTCAAATAGTATGCTACACCAAACTTTTAAATCAAACGTCGAATTCTCGAGGTTCTTTGTGACAATTTTTTTAATACGAGTGTTTAAAAATAGAAAAAATAAAACATGAGTAGAAGACAACAACAGCGAGACGGGAGCAGACATGAAACTATTAGTGTTCTGAAATAAATTATAGAAGCATTATTGCAGAAAAACAGGAGGAGAACGCACACAGCAATTGTGATGTTGTTCTTCTAGGTGTTGTCGCTTTATAGGTGTAAGGAACTTGCTGCTCTCTATGAATATGTGTTGTTGAAATGAAAAGAAATTACATCCAAAGTTGCAGAAGGAAGTGTAAATCTCTAAGTGTTGATTGATGTACTGAATTAATTTGAGTTGGAGAAAGAATGGCATGTGTACCTTAATTATCTTTTTTTTTTTTTTGAGCAAAACCTTACTTATCTTTTTATAGGCAAAGGATGAGTGATAATTTTCTCATCACTCCATATTTCACTCTGTTAAAGTCATTGATTAAAACTTTTTCCATCTCCGCCCACTTTCAAAGGCAGTGCATGAGTGTGTTTCTCCTACAAATAAATACCTCTCTTTTGAAAATTTAGGTTGACCTTGAATCAAAGGTTAAATTTTAACCCAAACAAATACATTTAATATCTCTTTATTAGAAACTATTTTTCTAACTACTAAATATTATATTAATGTTTCTTTGAAGATTTTTATGTTAATAGTTAGAGAAGCTAAAGAAAGAGTAGATGAGCTTAGGATCACTAGTTTTGGCCGCACCAAAGTTTAGATTAGCTTAAGATTAATAGCTATACATTGAATTCGTGAGTGGGCAATAAATGGCTCCTTAGCGAGGAACCAACATAGAGAAGTTAAAATTGAGATTTAAATATAGAAAAAAAATTATATTTAAGACCTTTTTACCATACTTAATAAAAAAAGATAACCCCTTAAACTCTAAAAATTCAATTTAAACAATAGATACTTAAATGAAATTAAAATACAAAGTAAAATTACTTCATTTTCTCTCATTTCTTGTGATTCTCTATTGAAGTTATTCATTTTTTATCTATATGAAATTGTTCATCGATTTACATGAATTATTTGTGTCATTATTGAATGATGATTTTATTCTGATTATTATAATCATGATAAAATGAATTGTTCATTTCTCTCCGTCAAGTTATTTATTAACCTATAAAAATTGTTTGTATTATTACTGAATCTTAATTTTATTTTAAAAATTATTTTTATAATTAATTATACTTAATTAAAATTCAAACGCGTTGTTAAAAATATCCGGATTCTTCTAAATATATGAGACGATCAGGTTCGAGCATTTCTTGGGCATGAAGAGACAAGGGTAAACTAAAAGTCGGAAAAAAACTGTTAACTCGGGGCCAGAAATAGTTACGTTTTCTATATAAAGGGCTGCGAGCAAGCCTAGGGTTGCATAGTGTTTGAACCATGCTTCAGCAGATGGCCGCTTCGCCGTCAAAAGTTTCTCAGATCCCCCAGATCCAAAAGTTCATCTCCGTCTGGGGATGAAATTTCTGGAGTATCGGAGTCTCTCGTTCCGATATGATTTTTTGCCGTTCTTTCCAATACATCTTCCAGGTTTTGCCTCTCTCAGATTTCCTCTTTGTCTACTTTCCTTCTCTCAGCCAAGCTTAATCTTCAATCCCAATCACCAAATCCAACCGAGACCAGGATGCGATCGAGTCGTTATTATCTCCATAAATCATCCATGGATCAGTAACTCATTGATCAGCGTGCTGTAACTAACTTCATTTAGATGCGACTTTTAGTTCTGGTTAAATGAACTTAGTTATGGCGCCTAATCAATGAGTAATTTAAACCATGACCTCAAGAATTTCTCCGCATGAGAACAAACCTAATCCCTAATGCCAGTCGAAACCAGGATGCGTTCGACTCGTCCGATCTCATGCACCTTGTACTCTCATTAGCAAAGATGAAACATTAGCCTCCTTCCATCTCTATGTGCGAGCATATTGTTGCTGCCAATTGGGGCAGAACCTATTGATGAGTGTGCCATAACTAACTTCATTTAATCAGTTAAATGAAGTTAGTTATGGCCACTGATCAGAGGTCAAGGATTGCTTCTAAATTGCTCTGTAAGATGTAGAGGTGGATGATCAAGTGGTCAATGAAGGCTTGGTTCTTTTTTAATAAATTCTCATGAGGTTGATCATTGGGTTATAGCTTTCCGTCAATCCATTAATAACTCAGTGATCGCTTGTATAAATTAGGCCTTGTCTGAGATTCATGGTAGATTTCATATTGTCATTGCCTATGATTTTGTTTTGTGCGTAAACTTATACTAGAATTTGTGCGGTTGTGCCTATGATTTTTCTGCATCTTTTGATCTGTACGCTATAGCTTAAATTTTTTTGTTACGATCTGTGGACTTGAAAAAAAAAAACAGCTTTATTATTGATGCTGTAATGGACTCTTTCTAAAATGAACGTGACTGATGGCATGATTTCGTAACATTTAAACCATGGATATAGGCAAGGAAATGTAGCAAATACTTATTGAGAAAATAAAACCTGGAGAGACATGTAGATCTACTTTGAGCTGTCTATGTAGACATGAAGAGTAATTGCTCGAGACATGGATCACCAAAAGCTTGCGGGTTATGGCCGTAGAAAAAAGCTTTTTTTTTTTTTTTTTTCCTTTTTTAGACTAGTTACTATGCTGTATGCAACAGGGCATTGGGCATTGGCTGACATTTTTGCTGAAGCTTTAATTTTATTAAATTTTTACTTTCCCCCTTAAAATATTTAGGCATTTTTTGAGGATTAGAGATTAAAAAATGTAAGATATTTTTAATTTTTTAAAATGTTATTATTATCTTTTTTTTAATTTATATTAAATAAATTACTTTATTTTTATTTTTAGAGTGAAACAATTTATAAAATAGAGATAAGTATAAAAAGACAGTGTTAATTTAAAAATAAATAATTATTTTATTAGAGTAAAATTTAGTTAAAAACAAGGACGTTGTTACATTGAACATAGAAGGGGCAATTGTCCTCATAAAATAAGAAAAATTTACACTTACTTTTGAGCTAAAATTGCATTTGTCCCCTTTTTAAAACTACACATGCCTACCATAAACATGAATTGCCCCACACTCTCTTTAAAATTATTCATCATGCATATTTAAAATTATTGTATACTCTTATATTTAATGTTAAAACAAATTTAGAATAAAAATTAATTATTATATTTTTAAATTTACCATATTATTTATTTAAATATTATTTTAATTATTATTTAAAATTATATGTTCTTCAAAAATATTAATATTTATGTAAATACAAATATTGCTCCCTTTAATAATTTTTTCTGGATCCGTGATTGGTTAAAGATGGTTTACGTTTTAATTGGAGGGAGTGTTTGGTTTGAGTGTGTGATGTTTGGAAACATTTGTTGTTGTGTTTATTCTGACATCACTTGGACCTCTTTACATGCCCTAGTGTTGCACACTTAATCGCATACCTTTTGGTGTATCTCAATATTCATCTTTGGAAGATTAAAATTGTACTTTGTGGTGTTGCCTTTTAGCATTTCTCCATCAATATTCATATTTGGTACATCCTAAATTCAATTTTACATGTCATTAATCACAAATTTAGCCCTTTTAGTTTAATTTACTACAAAAAGAAAGTAGAAATTGATTTGACTGTGGCATCCATACTGCTTTTTACAACAACGTCTAGTGCCTGTTGAGTCTCTCAGAAGCACGCCAACATTGCCTAAAGCAGACTTCAGCCTCAAAATTTAATGTGGTACCAATTTGGATTTTAGTTTCGATCTGTCAAAAATATTTTTGGAAGATAAACTATTTGTTAAATTTGAAAAAAGTATATCCCAAATGTGATTTGATATATTTTTGAAAGTTACTCAAACAAATCTCAAATGTGATAAAACATGCACAGTGCCTCATTCTGAGTCAATTCACCTATAATTTATATCAAGATTTGACTCCAAAATTGAGAATGATTATAATATCTCCTAGGATAATAATTTTTTGAAAACATTAAAATTAGGTTGATATTATTTCATTGCGCACATTTTTTTTATAATATGACAATAAAGTTATTTTAAATTGTATAAATGATAATTTAATTTTTTTAAAATGTTATCAGTCCACCAAAGTCTTTAGAAGACTTTTGTGTTAATAAATTTTAAAGTAAAATAATTATTTTATTCTTATTAAAAATAAAAAGCTCCAATTACAAGTTTTATTTAAAGGATAACAACTTTTATTTTATGAATAAAAAATTACAATTTATTTAGTATATTTCTATCTCAAAATAATAATTTTTGTATTATAAATTATAAGAATTAAATAAAAAATCACAACTTGTATCAAGTGTAATTTTTATTATTAAAAAAAATAAGTTTTCAAAATAAAAGGTACCAATCACAACTTTTCTTTAACAAATAATAACTTTTATTTAAAGAATAGAAAGAATTAAACAAGAGATCACAACTTGTTAATAAGGATAAAATTAACTTTTTAATTTAAAATTTATTTGACACTAAATTTTTAAGAATTTTAGTAGAATTATGACAATTTTTGAAAGAAAATTATTATTTATATAATTTGGGAAGATTTTGTTGTCATTTTACCTACTTTATTTTCCACAAATAATATCAGGCAAATTAGACCATAAGGAACAAAATTAATTATATACTCCCTCCATTGCTATTTATAAAGTAGAGTGAGAATAATC